AGAAAGTGAATGGGAGAAAGGGAGGCAGGAAGAGAAGGAGAGAGAGAGAGAGAGAGAGAGAGAGAGAGAGAGAGAAACATTGATCTGGGGATCGAACCTGCAACCCAAAAATTAAACCTTCAATCCTATAATGTACAGGACGATGCTCTAGCCAGAGCTGTGCTCAGTGTTTCTAACATGTATTATTTTATCTCAACTCAAACCAACGCTATCTAATAAGCATTACTGCTTTATCCGAAGGATTTATCAGTTTCCAGAAACCATGTACTTGCAGGGTTGTGTAAAAAGTGAGAAAGAGCAGGTTAAGTATTTAGCAATGTCTGGCCCTCTGGAAATGCTTAGGAAATATTAGATATTATTACTACCGATATTTCCTCTCCGCCAGGAAACTCTCCAGCCATTAAAAACATGCACCAAATTGAACAGAAACAAGGCGGCTTTGTCCTGAAATCACATGGAAATCAGCAGGGATATAGTTATGAGTGATCCAGAGCCATAACTTGAGCTTGGACACGTACGTGGAAGCACCTCACAGCTCCTCAGCCATGAAGAGGATGTCAGGGGAGGTCTCTAGGGAAAGCACTGCACTCTTTCCCCCTGGGATATGGTGGCTTTGGGCACTACTACTAACAGATGTGGCCAGGCAATTACAGGCTGGAGATGGGCAGCCACATTTTGCATTGTAAAGCTTAATCTGATCACCTCGAGGGTCAAGGATTTAGTTTTCATAATGGTCAGAGTCTATCTTGGGCTAGCATTTATGGACTGTATTTAAAGCCTTAGAGGTCTGGAATGTAATTTATCTTTGTTTTGTAGTATTCACGTGTGCATGCAGGAGCGAGCATGCATGCATGTGTGTGTGCGTGTGTATGAGTGATATATATGGTTCATGTAAAAGCTGCTCCAAAGCTCAGCCCTGTGAGGTGCCCTGTCACCCTCACTCCCGCTCATGTTTACCTGATGATTCCTTTGAGAAAACAGAAAGCCAACGGGCTTCAGTTCTCTCACCTCTGCTACAATTCTTTGCAACTCCCAGGCCTTTGCTCCTTTGGTGAATTAGGGCAGCCTCCCACTGTTTACTTGTCTCCCCCACACAACTGAGAATTCCCTGAAGGCAGAAACTCTGGTGTCAATCATTGAATTCTCAGCATCTAGAAGAGTGTCGGCATACAGTAGACACTCAATAAAACACTGAAGTTTCCTTCTGCTACAACATGGCATGGCTCTATGAAATCCTAATCTAACATGTTGAGTGGATTCCAACGCATGCAGCAGACCACACTGTCTGTCAGCTCTCTCTTCTTTTCTCTGCCCACTGTGAGGCACCTTCATGAACAATCTACTGGAATATCAGAAATATGCACAAAAGGAGATGATACTGATATCTGCCACACTTCCTCTTCTCTGGCAGTATAGAAAATGGTTTGGATGAGGAAGAAACTGCAAACATTAACATGAAGAGTCAGTGAGCTGCTGGTTTTAGCAGGCTGTGCCTGTCAATCACTCTCATCCATAATGAAGACTGGCCACCATAGCACCTGTCACCAAGGCCTCTGTACTCAGTTCCCTTCTTGGGGAGGCAAGTAGATGTGGTCACTAGCTGATAGTACCTGAAAACTTCAAGTGACATGAAAGTCATTCCAGACCTATAAAGAGAAATGACTAAAAAGGATACTCGGGGCTTTGTTGTTTGTTTTCATGTGCATTAGTCAGGATTCTTGGATGTAAACAACACCAACAAACTCTGCCCATCCAAAGAAGAAGAATTTATTTCAGAAAAAGGAGACATGTGTAAAACTTTCAACAATAAAAAAAAAAATTTTAAATAATTTATTTCAAGATTTCCAGGTACCACAGAATAAGTAGAATCCCAAAACTTGTTCCTCTACCACCAGCTCCACAAACCCCTCTGCTAAGTATGACCTGCCTCTTAGGGACCCCACCACCATGGTGAAGTTTCACTTGTCCCCTTATCTTTGCACTGTCAGCTCAAATAAGAAGCATCTGTTTGGCCAACCTGAGTCACCACCCCCATCCCACCCCCACCCCACCCCCAGCCAGCATCTGTCTCCATCCGGCTCCCAGAGTGGGAAGGAAGGTCCTAGCTCACTCACGGTGGGGCCTGAGTAGAAAGGAAGTTTGCCCGCGTGTTAGCCACAGAAAAATGTCAAGTGTCCTACATCACAGCTCAGCAGCCCGGCGTCTGTGTGCTTTGCTGGTAGGTAGATTATAGAGACGAGTAAACTCAGTCTCTGCAGGCACAAACCCAGGGCCCTAAGTGGGGCAGACTCGTGATTAATGTACACAGGCTTGCTAGGAATTCTTGCTCTAAAGGTTGAAAGAATTACCAACCAAAATTAAATTTTAATCAGCTAGCAGTTTCCTGCTACTTTATCCGAGGCAATTTTAGAAGTTGCGGTTGAGCACTGCAGGCTCCCGGTCTGTTATAAGACCCTACCGCCAGCTCCGATTAACCCAGGGAACTTTCAGCTCTTGATCAAGTTTCCACTCCCCTTCTGTTCCGCCAGAAGTCCTCTTGTCTCAAAAAAAAGCAAGATGGCTCCAGCCTTGTTCTTTCTCAACCAAGTGGTGACTCTGGAAGTCCAAGGACCTGGGATTCTTGAAATAAATTCTTCTCTTTTTTAATTCTTTATTGTTGAAAGTTTTACACATGTCTCTTTTTTCTGAAATAAATTCTTCTCTTCCAATGGGCAGAATTTGTTGGTGTTGTTTACATCCAAGAATCCTGACTAATGCCCATAAAAAAAAAAAAAAAAAAAAAAAAAAAAAACAGTGTCCTTTTTAGTCATTTCTCTTTCCAGATCTGGAATGACTTTCATGTCACTAGAAGTTTTCAGATACTGTCGGCTAATGATCGCATCTACTACCGCTTCAGACCGTGGCCCAGGTCCTAGGGAGAAAGGATTCCGGGATGAGCAGCTCAGCTTCTGTTGGCAGCCGTGCAGAGGAAGGGGCAGGACTCATGCCTAAAGGAAAACCTTTCTTGGTAAAGAATGGCGAGCCTCAAGGCAACAAACAGGACGGAGACTGCAGAGGAGAGGCCTGGCTGCACCGGGCAAAAGCGGGATACAGGTGGGCAAAGCGGAGGTCGCAGCAGGATACTGCCCCATCCAAAACACCCACGCACCGCAAAGGTAGAGCAATTTCGCCCCCAGCAATCTATTGCATGCATACTTACTGGCACACCAAAGCATTACTGGCCTCCACAGAAACAAAAAACTAGAAATAACCGCCCAAAATTAGTTCAATATATTACTCTATAATCATACCATGAGGCATTACACACCTATTAAAAAAGAGGTGCCATTATTTGTGATAATATTGTCAATAGATTAAGTGAGCAGCTCAAGTGGCAGAACAGTGTGTATAGTATGATTTTGTTGGTTTTTAAAAAGGGAATGCACAGGAAGGCTTGTCCAGTAAAAAATACCGGAACAATAGCCTGGAAACTGTTGGAAATGAGAGTTGGGGAGTGGGTAGGAAAGGGAGGTCTTTACTTTTCACTTTATATCCTTTTCCTGTTTGAATATTTACTGTGAGAATATAGTCTATTTATAATTCAACTAACTTAAAATATTATAAAAATGAAACATAGCCGGGAAAGGAGTAAAATTGGTCATTTACAAGCAGGGTCAAATAAATTATTTTCCCCTAATAAGGCAGCTCATCTGAGCCTGTGGAAACGCAGGCTTTTCTCATTTTAGAAATCTTTTCTGCTTGCAGGCCCAAAGGGAAACCCATCTTCGATCTTTTCCTTAACCTCAGAGCCAGGTAAGCCTGTATTCCACTCAGGTGAGGGCCTACCTTCTGCCTCCTGCCCAGGTGTGTGCTGGGCCTCACCCCACAGCCAGGCTCCATGTCACTGAGGTAGGGGTGCCCCCTCAATGCCACTACCCCCACCCCAAGAACAAGTCAATTGTTATTAAAAGCATGGGACTAGAGTTGGGCCTACTTGGTTTGTAGTCCTGTAATAATGATGGTAATGTTGGTGGTAATGCTTAAGAAGGTGCTAGAATCTAGTTTGGAAATTTAATTCTAGAGTAGAAAAAAAAGAATGACCAGACTTTACCAATGACCCTGGGGGGATGGGGGTGGGGGGTCCTATCTCCTCTCAGTTACCAAAGGCAGCCCCAGAACGGTCTGTGTTAAAGCTTCAATGACAAGAAGTGGGGAGAGCATTGGGGTGAGCTTAGCAAAGGGCCCCCACAGAGAAAAGGAGTCTCCCTAACTTCCCACGGACATAGAGGAACGTTACCCACACAAAACGTTGTAGAACCAGCCACGGTGCCTGCGAGGGAAGCACTGGGGTGCATTAGCCATCTGGTCTAGGGCCTCAGCTCCTCTTCCCTAGCTCTCCCCACTGCCCCACGTCTTCCAGGTTGAAGTTTTACCTCTTCTCAGCTCTTCTACTCCACTCCATTCAGCAGGTGGACAAGTAAAGGACTGAACCCCTCCCTTTTCGCCTTGCCGCCACCCCCACCCCCCAACACACACACACACACACACACACACACACACACACTCACACTGTAAGATCCTTGCGATACATCACTCTACTGAAGGGACTTCCCAGATCAGTCCCTTGGGACAAGAGTGGCTGGAGTTGGTCCTGGTTATCTGGTTACTTGGGGCAGCTGGAGAGCCAAAGCTGGGTGACCACCCAATCTGGCCTGGGCTGCAGAGGTATTTGCTGGCCTGTTGCCCCCCCCCCCCCCCCCCCTAACTACCAAGGCAAGAAAACCTGTTCCAGCTCCATTCTCACTCCCCCTTCTCCCCACCCCTGGGGAGATCTGGCCCTTTTTGCATCCTTTGAGCAAGATCCTGCAGTGGCCTTCCCTAGCGCAGGGGCCTTCCCCAGACCCCTAAAGGGAAGGTTCCTTTGGACTCCCCTTCCCTGCCCCGGTTCTACTTGTCTTTTGAGGACCCCCGCCCACCCACCCCCCAAGTCCAGCCTCTGGCCCAGCCCTGGGTGAGAGGGACGCGGTGCAGGTGAAACCTAGGCCTTGGTGGGTCAGGGACCGGGACGCCTGAGCCCCCATCCCTTATGCGCGCACAAAGGCCGCGGCCGCGCCTCATTGGGCTGCGGGACCGGACCCCGCGGAGACCGCGGCCCAGAGCTCCGCGCGGCCAGCGCCCCGGCTCCGTGCGGGAGGTCCCGGCAGCAGCCTGGGCCGCGCTGGCAGGTGGCTGCGGGGACCGGAAGGATGCGAGGAAGTGGGAGCGGGTTTCCTGAGATGAAAGATTACTTCCGTCCGGGCGCCCGGCTCTCCCCAGCCTGCTCGGCGGGGGGCGGGGAGCGGGCCGCGGGGCCGGGGGGCGCGCCTGGCCGCCTGCAGCGCCCGGGCCCAGGGGCGCGCTCGGCCCGCCCGGGGCTCACGCGGGCGGGGGTCCTTGCAGGTGGCGCTCAGAGTTCTTCCAAGAGCCCCAGCCATGGTGGCCAAGCAGCGGATCCGGATGGCTAACGAGAAGCACAGCAAGAACATCACCCAGAGGGGGAACGTGGCCAAAACCCTGGTAAGGCGGGGCGGCCGGGGCGGGGCGGGCGGGCTCCCAGCTCCTCCCGCCCCGCCCGCCCCGTGGGCGCCGAGAGCTCGCCGGGGCGCTGGCCTCACCGGGCTCTCCTGGGCACAGAGGGCCTTGTGGGTCCTGGCCCCTCCGGGAGGGGCTGCTGGGGCTGCCACGGGGACAAGGAGGAACCTCCCCAAGAGAGAAATGGGCCCTGTGTCTCTGGGATAAACGGAAAGCAGCAGCTACGGGAACGTAACAGAATCTGCTTGACTCAGGGTCCTGAATCCTGACTCAGGTGCTAGAATGTTAAAGAGGTGATGCATTATGGGCCTAGCCAGTGGCCATGAACAACAGGAGAGTGGGGGCATATGTAGGGAGGGGTTTGGGATGGGAATGGGGGGATGAGGACAATTATGTGATACCATAATCAATAATAAAAAAAAAAAGTGATGCATGAATGAATGAACGAATGAACGAGTAAATGAGTAAATCAGGCCATATATCATGTCCCCTCCCAGGCGGCATCCCTGCCCTCCATACTCCCCAATACACACCATGGTAAGGTTTTCTTTCCAGCCCCTTTGTAATGGTCTCCCTATTAAATGGAAGAGTGCAATGAGATTCAAACCCATATTACCCTCCATCCTCCTCTAGCTTGCCTTTTCTCCAGCGAGGCCTCTCACACTGGGTTAAGGTTTAAATGCAACTGTCCTCTTGATCACCCTGTGAATTCAGGTTTATTCTGATCCAGCACTTTAGAGGCTAATTACCAGACATTCTGTGCCCCCAACACTGTATATTAAAGCTTTATAATGACTTTTAAGTAAAAATCTGTGCCTTCTGCAGTGGGGTTTCTTTTGGCAATGCAAATTATCTCCAAGAGAAAATGCCAGGCCTATGATTTTGGACATTCAGAGGCATGCCTCGAACGAGTTTGCTGGGCAGTGTGGGTCTCCAAGCCTGTGAGCAAAGGCACATGGAATCTATTATTCCAGGCACTTAAGTGGAAGTCCAACTGAAGCCTTGGGGTTTGGCTGGAAAAGCCTGCATACTTGACGAGACAATTCCTTTTAGCCAAAGAAATAAAGCTGCTTTGATTAACTGAGCAAAAAGCTGCATCTACAGTCATTACCCCAGAATTCTTGCAAAGCAAGCAGCACTGTGGCAGAGAAACTTGAGGATTAAACTGAGCTGTACTCAGGGCTTTATGCACAGCTCCAGGCTGAAGTCATGCTTGAAATTCCTTCACTTGGGAATTAGACCATTTACTTATGATTGATCAGCAAAATGCTGATGTGCCATTGAATTGTAACATTTTTTTCACCAAGACCTATGTTTTCCCTATTTATTTTTACTCAAAAAATAAATAAATAAATAAACTTGCTGTTCAAATTAACGTTGACAAACAACTTTTAATTGATGTTAAAGCATTCAGAATTTTATATCCCAAGGATATCAATTCTTTTTAGAATGTCATATATTCAGACTATATATAGTCTAGAATGTCATATATTCAGACTATATATATATATACACACACACACACACACATATACTGTATATATTCATATATACAGTACTGAAAATCTCTAGTTGTGCATTTCTTTTTAATGAACCAGGATTCAGTTGTTTACTGAATTAAGCTAACAACTTATCTGACTATAAAAATAACAAAACAAACTAATTTGTGGAGCTGTTTTATCCGTTAGACTTGGTAAACTCAGTGTCTGCCACTTTTAGCTTTTCAAAACCACTAGAAAATATTTGGGAGCTGAGACAAACATTATTGGCTCCAAAAATAAGAAAAGAAAATGGAAAATTTTGGAGAAAGAGATGTTTAGATACCTAGAAAATGTAGTCACCTGCAGTTCAACTCAACTTCCAGAGGTGCATTCAAATTATGTTCGATCTATGGTATGAGTGCATTTTAATAGTTCACATATACCATGGAGTAGGCCCTTCAAAAGTGTGGGGCGCTTCTGAAGGTTTTTAAATGGCCCCACTAAATTTGTAATGAAGGGTTTCCAAACCAACCCACAATGTATGTTTATTTTTCCTTCGGTTGGAATGGCTTTTGGTTAACTTTATTATAAATGGATCAACATCCAAAAAGAAAAATGAAATTCTCCTTTAAAAAGCAACACTTTAGCCCTAGCTGGTTTGGCTTAGCGAATAGAGTGTAGGTCTGCAGACTGAAGGGTCCCAGGTTCTACTCGAGTCAAGGGCATATACCTCAGTTGCAGGCTTCATCCCTGGTCAGGAAGTATGTGGGAAGGGACCAATCAATGTTTCTCTCTCTGTCTTTCCCCCTCCCTTCCACCCTTTCTTAAAAAATCAATGGAAAAATATCTTCAGGTGAGGATTAACAACAACAAAAAGCAATACTTTAAATCCTAAATTTCATTTTCCTAGTTACAGGCCAAACATTATACTTTGAAAGAATTAACTTGCAAGGGAGAACTTGTTCAGATGAAATTCAATAAATGGGGACAGATGAACAGATTCTAACTGAAAATTCAGATTAATCACTCAGAAATAAAGCCCTCTGATTATATGCAGATGCCTCAGTATTTTGTTATTAGTTAATAGCTATGGAGTGAATCAAAATTATTCTCCCAGATAGCAGATAAAGCCAAGAAACAGAGAAATGGGATAATCATTTCATGATTATACAGTAGTAACTTCTTCAGAATGAAGAGGGAATTTAAATTCCAAAGTTCTGAGTCACCCTGCTGTTATCTTATCACAGGGAAAGCCATCCCCTGACGCTTGGGAGCCTTGGGAAATGGCAAACTTCTGTTTGAAATGAACCATGTCATTTGCAGGATTCCGCTGATTGTCTTGCTTCTCCCAGCAATAGGTTCAGGTTCCCACTGGGACTGTGCTGGGCACCACTTACACACACACACACTTGAAGCTCTCAAAAAGAATATATTGGTATTATCACCCAGGCATTCCTGAGCGCTGAAAGGCCCCAAGTAATATTGATTCACTGGCAGATATCATCCAAAAGGTTTTGCTCCAAGCTCTGCATGTTAGTAATTTATGTTTTCAGCAAAGGAAAAATAAAGGACTTCATTTGGTATCTGACTCGACCAATAATTCATTTACAGGCTTCTGAATTCACTTGGCTTTGCTGGAGATGGAGAAAAATTAATTTTTATATAACATTAGGAGGATGACAGCAACAGAATTGGTTTCTGGGCAACTATGACAAATTGTTAGGAAGTTGGTAAAAGAGTGGGGAGGGGAAAGCCACACTCTGGGTAATTTTATTTAATATCTCTATTTACTTGATCTGACCTTGACCTGGTCTTAGTGCCAAAGAATGACCTGATAAAAATGCTGATTAAAGTTATCTTATGCAATTATTTAAGATGGCTTTGTCCTTTTCTAGTCAAGGACAACCACGTCTTTCCTTGCAGTGTGATTTGCCCCCCCACACAAGAGTGGTAGATACAAGCTTGTCAGTGACAGAGAAGCAAATGCTTTCAGTCCTTAGTCAGAATCTACCTGCCAGTGCCACCTGAATCCATACTTCTCTGGTAAGAGAAATGAAGGGATAACCCTTAAGTCAATTAGGAAGTATAATAATAAAGACAATATCCTTCCTAGGCCCTGTCTTTATTCTACTTGACCTAAGAAACCATGTTTAATGAAGCATGAGTGCTTATTCATTCTTCAATTAACATTTGTGGAATGTCTACTATGTTTAAGTTTTGTATTGCGCACTGCTATACATTGACATATGGAAGAGAACGTGCCTGCCCTTGTGGGGCCTAGAATCTAGTGAAGAGCCAGACATTGAACACATCATCACAAGAATAAGCAGAGATACAAACTGTGGTAAATGCCAAGGAAAAGAATATGGCTTTATACATGACAAGTGAACCCAATTGAGACAGAAGAGAGAAGGCTCTCTAAGAATGTGGGCAGGTGAGCTGGGAACCAAAGACGCTACTTTTTTTCGTTCAACCTTGTCCCTTTTTATTTGAGAAATTTGCCAGTGTTTCAGGTGCCTCTCAGAATGTTTTATTTTATTTTTAAGGACCAAGCTCTACCTGCCAGTAGACCTACAGGGGTTGCAGAGAGACATTCTTACTCTATGCTTTTGGTTTGAGAAGAGCAGGAGGTATAAAGGCTAGATTAGTGTGGATACAATAGCCCCCTCTGCTTCCCAGAGAATGCAGAAATTTCCAAAGTGTAAGGTTCACAAAGATTTAGGAGCTTTATTACAAAACGCTGCTTTGCTCACATCCATTCACAGTTGCTGTGGTGCGTCTGGGATTTCAAGGATTTTCACTTGTACTGCCTTCCGAAAATTTTTGTTCTATGGAAGGTTTTGAGAACATGGCTGTGTTCTGTGACCCTACTTAGATTTCACGGATGTGGGAGTTAAAAATGAAACTCTCAGCCGAAACCGGTTTGGCTCGGTGGATAGAGCATCGGCCTGCGGACTGAAAGGACCCGGGACGATTCTGGTCAAGGGCATGTACCTTGGTTGCGGGCACATCCCCAGTAGGGGGTGTGCAAGAGGCAGCTGATTGATGATTCTCTCTCATTGATGTTTCTAACTCTCTATCCCTCTCTCTTCTTCTCTGTAAAAAATCAATAATAATAATAATAATAATAATAATATATATATATATATATATATATATATATATATATTTCTTTTTTAAATAAAAAAATAAAAATGAAGCTCTCAGTGGGAAACACCCAGGCTCTATAATGAGGCAGACCTAAATTTGAATTCCAGCTCTTGCCCAAGTTAACAAATTTGAGCTTCAGGTCTTAACTACAGAATGGAGTTGTATGGGGTTGTGAGTGCTGGAAATAATGGATGTAGTAGGTTTCTGTCATAGAGAGTGCTTTCAACAAATGGAAGCAATTATTAGTAATATCATCTTTGGCTCTCAAATTACTGTATTAGTTTTATGTATTTAGACCTTGACCCCAGAATATTTAAGACCACCACGTTCATTGAGTTACAGGTTATTGATGAATGTTTTTAAACCTATCTTGATCCTTTACAATTGACTTTATTCATCTGTATCTGCCTACTGGGCATTGAGACTGAGTCTGTGCTCTAGCCCCTAGCACAGTGACAAGTAGCACTCAATAAATGTTTCCCAAATCAGTGAACCTAATCTTACTTTCTCCCCTTCTCTTTTAGAGGCCGCAAGAAGAGAAGTATCCTGTGGGACCATGGCTGTTGGCACTGTTTGTTTTTGTTGTCTGTGGCTCAGGTATGGATTCTTCACTGCCCTCTATCCCAGGTTTCCCTCTGTCCTTCAAATACACATGTTTTATTCAGAAGGCAAATAGACAAAAACTATATTAGTCTAAGATTCAAGTTAATCTCTGCCTGAGGTATTAATCTTAATGGGTTTTGATTTAATTTCTGTTCCAGCAGACCAAATATGAGTAGAGATAGAATTGATATGCTATCAAATTGTAATCATGAAATGATTGTGCTGAGCAATTAAATCAGCTATATAGAGTTTAGAGTTCAATCACACCTTTCTGTGAAGACACAGTATAAGAGCATTTAAAACAGAAAGTGGAGCACTTGCCTATGATAAACCCACATTCCAGAGAGAGGGAGCGGCCTTCTGCGAAGAGGACCTCCTCAGTGCTCTGCACAGAACTGAGCCTTTGACCTGAGCCTCAAGGTGCAGTCACTTCATAGTGGAAGCTGACAGGCTCAGAGAGCTTTCCTTACACTGACAGGCAGACACACACATACAAAGAGGAGATTTGAGCAGAAGGATCATACAGTCGTTTCTAGTAAATTCTGCTATTGGGAGTCTTGACATAATTCCTGCCCATCAATAGATAGGCCATCAGAGCGTCCCATCCTCATCACCTCACTGTTGCTGAGGATAGGGAAGACCAGGAGTCCACATCTTCCTGCACAGACCCAGGCCTCCCATGAGGACATCATTCTGTCCCAATAGCAAGAGACACCTATGACTGAAGATAGATCAGTGCCTCTGATCTCCAAGAAACCACTCTTCCAAGGAAACAAAAGCTCTTAGGAGAAAGGAGGGATACAAAGGACTTGGCATGATCGTTGCTTGAGGCTCAAATATTTTAAAGCTGATTTGGCTTCCCAAGATGAGAATATCTTCCACTCAAAGAAATGAAGCTGTACCCCAGTCCCAAAGCTGTGTCCTAGAAGGGAATCTTTTGCCCAATATGGGGATTCCTCATCTTTAACAGAGTTCAAGTTACCCATCCTCTGCTGGAATACTTCAGAGGGCTGAGTACTCGCTTCTTCAAAAAGCCTATCCCATATCTGTGTAGGTCTAATTCTTTTAGAAATGTTTCCTTCCCCTTTTGAACAATACTGTGCTGTCTTCTCAATAATTCAAGGTAGACCCTTGGAGTCACCACTCTACAGGACTCATTCTCTTCTGAACATCTTGAATCTTCGGATATTTCAAAGATGACTGCCTAGTGGTTCCTTCTACTGGCTTTCCCAGTTTTCTCAACCAGTCCTCATAAGATGTGGTTTCTAATTATACGCCAGGAGTAGCATTTGCAACTGTAGAAGTTGGTCCAGAAGTGGTGTAAATGCTACAGAGTTACTAGGATTGTCACTGCCCTTATATCAATGCTCTGCTTCTATTAATATGACCCAGTTTGCAGTTTATATTGAAACAGTCACAGCACGTTCCAGACTCACTTAGAGCTAATGGCCAGGCAGGCCCCACCCAGATCTTCTGTACATAAACTTCCTGCAAGCTTCAGAGGCAGCTACGTAATCCCATCCAAAATTGTCTCCTTTCCTATCACACATTGTTTTACTTTATTCATGGCCCTCATCAACATTTGAAAGTATTTTGTTTTCTTATTTATTATCCATTTTCCTCCCAAGATATAAGCTCAGGAAAGACAGTGTTCCTTTTCCACTAAAATTGTAGATTCTACTACAGTATTTGGTGTATTGTGATCAATACAGTTGGATGGATGGATGAATAAAGCCAGATATTCCGCATATTGTAAATATCCACTTGACATTTTTGAGACCTAACATAAAGCTTCATGAATATTTCTATTAAAAGTTTATTGTTGGTTTCAGTTGTCCTTCTACAGAGTAACTATAAGTCTGGAAACACAGAAGAACATGTGTGATAAATGGCTTATCGGTATTACAGTTTAATGTACAATATGGTCAGTGACACTACATCATCTGTTCAGTGTATTGTCGTTAGCAATGCACAGTTCCGAGCACCGTACGAAACTGCAGTGACTCTGCTGCGTCGATGCAGCGTTGCCATCAGGCCCACAGAGTCATCTGTTAGGCATTATCTCAGATGATCTGTCTCTTGATTTTCAGCCAACAACCAACAAAACAACCTGTGCTTTAGCATGCCACAGAAAAATACAAAATCAATCCATCTAATAAAGTTGTCTATCTTTTCAGGTTTTATAGCCAGCCTGTAGACTGTTAAATCTTGAACCTTGAGCCTTTTATCTAGTTACCTTTTTCTCTGAGCCTTACAATCTCTAAAGTATATTATTTCTCCAAGCCACTGATAAAAGTCTAGACCCGGAGAAGTCCATGGGACACAATTAGAGACAACTCCCTTTGGGTTGACTTTGAACCTCTCCGCAGAACTCCTGCAAGCAATCATCACGCGTTGAGGGTCCCCTCACAGTGCCTGCCACTGTGCTGGGCTTTGAAACTACAACCTCCTTCAGAACCTACAGGCTCTGGAGAGGGCAGATAAGAAAGCTGCCCGTTGTAACCTCGGAAAGAGCACTGTGATAGCGGAGTGCTTGGTGAGAGCGCATTAGGGATTGTCTTAGTCCTTTCAGGCTGCTGTAACAACATGCCGCAGCCTGGGAGGCTTACAGACTGCAGAAATGTACTGCTCACCGTTCTGGAGGCTGGAAGTCAGATTTCAGGGCCAGCATGGTCAGGCGCGAGCCCTCTTTCTGGTCCTAGACTTCTTGTATCTTCATACCACATCCGTATGTAGCGGAGGGAGACCGTGACTCTCTGGGGCCTCCTTTTTAAAAGTATGGTCCCATCCACCCTCATGGCCTCATCACCTCCCAAAGGCCTTGCCTTCTACCACCATCATATTGAGGGTACGTGTGAATTTGGAAGAACACAATGAATTATAGCAGGAACCTCTAAACCATGCTGTGTAGAAGAACAGGTTTCCCAGAGGAGGTTGCCCTTTGAGCTGAGTGTTGAAGGCCAAACAGCCAGACAAAGGTAGGTTATTCCACATGAAGGAACACTGCGTGGCAAAGGCACGGAGGCTGCAGATAGTGGCTCAAGAATGGCAAAGCCCAGCTGTGAGGATCTGTGAGCCCTTAGTGGGAGGGAAGTGGCGGGAGACTATAGAATTATTTGGTCTGGCTTGTTTTTCTCAAACCTGTGCTAGTTCTCAGTCGTCATTTTTTTCAAAGGGCTTAAAAAACCTCCTCTAAATTACATTTTTTTAAAAATTTCACTTTAATTAAAATTTTGCCAGACCTATTGGTTCACTTAGCAGGAACCCTATCCAACAATCTTTTGGAACCAGTCTTCAGGAGTGTTCTCAGGATCAAGCACAAAGGCTCTGTTATCCCATCTGCAGGATTGTCCAGGGGCCTGGATGGGAGGCTGCAGGGCCTGAAGACTTGGACATGAAGGAAATATAACACTCGGTGGGCATGCCAGGTCCCCCCACCTTGTGTCCGGTGCTCATCTAGCAATGCTTCTTTCAACTTCCTCGTTAAGACCACTTTTGCTATTATGAGGAGCAATAAATAAAATGGGAATTGGGTGGTCTTACTTTCTCTATCCTGTTTACGTGCTATAAGGATCCTTAAGTAATGGGCCTCATCCCCTTTATAATCATAAGAATAATCTAATACTACCACCCTTTTTGTTTTGTTTTGTTGTTGTTTCCTGCCAACTTTACCATATTTTTTTCCTGCAAGCCTCAGCTGAAGTTGGGCACTGTCCTCACAGAAATGTGCCACTCTCCTCAGTTTGTCCTTGGTGCTGTGCCCTTCCTTCTCTCTTTGTACATGTCCTTTTCTAAACCAGTCATGTCAAAGAAAGGACAATGGCACCTATCAATGCATGCCCGTTGCCACTTCTCGGGAATTAGTCACAATTCAGTTCGTTTTGCAGAGCCATTGTCCCTCTTGAGTCTCTCCCTTTTCAGGGTCGCAGGCCACAGGCTCCCACCTATCTTTTGTCTACATTCAAAAGAATGTGATCTCCTCAAGTTCATCAGTCCCTCTGCTTTATGTAATAAACCTTCTTGGTGCTATGATGATTGAACCCCTCCTTACCATTCTCTCTCACCTCTGTCCCAGTTCAGTGATCCAAGGCAGGAGAGACCCCCTGCGCCTCACTTCTGACCATCCATCCATGCTGTGCACACCCTCACTCCTGCTCTTGTCTGTGACACTCATGCAAAACACACTATGGTTTCTGGTAGGATTTCTGCACCTCTTCAGACACATGCTCCTTCGTGTCCCTTGGGTCTCTTTCCTTTGAACAAGGCATGCCCATAGGCCAGGCTACAGTTCCATCTCACTGAGTTCCATTGACACTTATGAGGTCACTTGCCCTCTCTGAGCTCATGTCATTGGTTATTCCTATTTTGTATATTTTTATACAGACAGGAAAAATATGAGATCTTCTACTGTTAAGGAAGATGCTGATCATTGATCTGATTCTCTTGATAGACTCACTTGCTTTCATTACCTTTCTCATTAACCCACATTTCTAACTGATGTCTGGTTGGGCAAAGTGCTCCTTTTAGAAGTAGAGTCAGTAAACAGTCAGGTCAGGCAAGGAATAGGAGAGCACATCTTATTTGTTTCCCTAGCAATATTCTGGGAAGGAATTGGGCTGGTAAAATGTTGGTGTTTAAGTACATGCTCACTTATTGGTCACCCTTACTCCACTTTATGTGGAAAAACAAGTTAGCAAACTTCCAAGAGTTTTCAGGATCCCTTTATTACAGGGAGTGATGTGTCATAGCAAACTTTCATCCCTTGCTTCTCTTTCTTATGACCTGCTTCATTCTCCCTTCATGCCTTTCATGCCTACAGTGGTGATAAGAGCGAAATAATGAAAGGGAAGGAAGAGAAACCTGAAGTACAGGAGCATGGCACCCAGGGACCCCTGGCCCAACCAGCATTCAGGGAACACCCACCACCTCACCAAGAAATTAGATAAGAGCACTGGAGCCATGCCCAGGCCCCCAAGATCGGATTCAGAGTAGTCAGCTGTAATCTCTAATACTTTACCCAGTAAAGAGGCAGTTGAAGGAGGTTTATCTAAATACATCCCTCCCCAGAAGTAAGTAAATTTCCACTTTCTACCATTGCAAAAGGTCTCTGAGGCAAGACGCTTCTTTGAAATCTGACCATCTGGTGCCCCAGAGGGGAGGACAGTTTGGGAATCTGCCAGATAGGGGTTCGGAGCCTAGATTTGCTATTTCTCAGCTGAATAACCATGGACAAGTTATTTACTCTCTCTGTATTGATTTCCTTTTCAATCAAATAGGGATATAGGAGCCCCTCCACAGGTGGTAATGGCCTTGAAGGTTTCAGGGATGTAAGTGTTGGCCCAGTAAGCTTGACACCTGCAGCTTCAGTCACCACCACCTCTACCCCCTCCCCCCCATGGAAACCAGTGGCACCAAGGCTGGGAATGCTGTGCCAGGGGGTGCTCATGCTTCCATTCATCACCCTTCCTCCCAGACTAAGCCTGTCATTGGCAGGCTCTGCAATCATATTTTTCTGGAACCTTCAGAAAGCATTAGGCCCTGCCCCTTAACTCCAAGGATGGGTGTGAGCTAGTTCAGTGGGTACATGCGACTGTCTTCCCTTGATAAAGCCTCAAAATCTGTCACCTCCCCACGCAAGGAAAAGGAGGCACACATGTGCAGACACAAATCAGTGAATGGAGTTTGTACCTTAAGTTGAGTCTCAGAGTGAAATGTAAGTTTCATTTCCTTAGCACAACCCACATACATCACTGTTTGGCTAGAGGAGTTTTCTTTGTGAAATAGAAAACTTTTGGGAACCCTGTGTTCTTTTGAGCCACAATATTATCAAAATAGGTCCCTTCAGGGCCATTTTGTGCTTTGTTTTGCTCAGTTTGATAACCAACCTTGTTATTGGTATTAGATATTCTGTCGGCAATCTCAGACCTGCTTCTCAAATACCTGTGATGGGCCCCCTCAGGTGATTATTCCAAATAGGCCAAAACTTTTCTTGTTCAAGTCTTGTCCTGGGACTTTGTGTTGCTGGAACCTTTTTAACTGGTTGCATTTATCTGGTTTTGGTCTCTTGGGACCCAGATCCACATTAAAACACACTCCTTTTTATAAAAACATTATCTTCCACTTTTGCAGGCAAGGGGGCCTCTCTCCAGATAAGCAGCTCATTCCAGCTCTCTTAGTCCCTGGTTTCAAAGCCTGCCCTTTTTAATAGCTTCCGTGTAATAGCTTCTGAAGAGTTCTTGCTTTATCTTGAGACTCAGAGACAAGCATGACCTGGAATGTCTGTCTGAAACAGCAAACACTGTCACACATCTGCCGACCACTATCTTCACAAGACACTTGCAGGCTAGACACACCTCCCCAGGCCATTAATGAAGCCAGTCCCCACTGTTTGTGCTCAGTGCCTAGCCCTTGGGTTTTCTTCCCTTTTATCCTCAGCTCTTTTAAAAGCCTTATTGAGAAAGATTCTGAGGCAACCCCAAAGCTCTATGGGAAAGTGTGCTGCAATTGATTACTACTGTCTGTCATGAGCATGGTATAACAGCAGGGTCCCGTGCTCATCTTTGCTGTCCCTGGTCTAACCTTTTTATAATGTAAGTGCCACAGTGTTCACAGGACAACCTTCTTCAGCATTTTTAACTTCTCTTTAACTTGCATGCCTACTGGAGTCAATGAAATTAGATCTTTTCCCTAACAGGTTTGTCATTTTGTCATCATACATGTTTCTTGTGATCCTATAGTAGGATTTACCTTTCCCAAGCTCCGATAGGAAGCCACAGTCTTAGCACTCTTTGCAACATGGTTGTATCCTTCTCTGTTCTTATCCCTCCTTGAGGTTTCAGCTGGGACAAATGGGGCCACCATTTAATTCCCATCATCCTTCGATTCTGATGGGAACTCTTACATACCAGCCAAGCCCCACTTCCCTCCCTCGGATGGCTTCTCCCTCATGTATTCCTAATTTCAATTTTATTTCTCTCTTTCTAGCCAGTTTTGATGTTCATTTCCTAGTTAGTGATCATGAGAATGTCAATAGTTACTGAAGCCAGGGTATTCTTGAGGCTGAGGAGCTTTTATTCTACATCAAATGGAACCTCTAAGGCACCAGTGACTTATTTTATTCATAATCTTCCCCATTTTGTCAATGAACATATATTACTTGCATATTTAGAAAAAATTAAGTGTGATTTAAGAACAAAACATCAAGACTTGTGGTTTGTAGCTTTTTCCTTTTCTTAAAGCAGCAGCACTCTGTTCAAATCTTATAGGGAAACAAATGAAAGAGCAGCTGTTCTGGTTGAAATGAGATCTGTGTATATGTGTACATGAGCATGTTTGTGTACATGTTTGTGTATGTATGTTGTGTGCTTGTATATGAATGTTGCATGTTTGTGTGTTGCATGTTTATGCATGTGTGTACTTCCTGTGTTACTGTATATTCTGATTTTTTTTCATTCCCAGAAAGGAATATCCAGCTGGACCCTCTTTGCCCATAAATAGGAAATTGTGTCTGACCCAGAGCTGGCCTCTGCTGTACAGAGTTAATATCTTTCAGCCAAGAGCCCACTAGGTTTTTTGGCACCGTCAGTTGTAAATAGCTGCAATGCTTCTGGGCAAGACCTTCCTTTTGTCTATCAGTTCACAGACTGTCAGTGCTCCTCTCCTATTATCCTCCAGGGACTCTGCCCACAGGGATTGGGGGCAGGGTGGGAGGAGAAAGATAGTGTCACAGATAGGTCTGGTTTTTCAGGACAACCTATTCAGAAGAGATATCAAGAAGTGATTCCCAAATGGGCCTGAACTTCGATGCTCTCAGCCCCATGTTTCAGGCCGTCTACCTGGCTCTCTTTATAGATACACTAGGGACCTCTCCATTCCTGGAAGGACTGGCACCCACCCTTCCTAGGACTGGGTTTTTTATTAAGGATGTGAAGGAGGGAAAGGACTAAATCATGTGTGTGCCAGTTCCAGGACCAACCTCTCTGGGTTTGAAACCTGGGTGTGCTGCCTACTAGCTCTGTAGCATTGTCCAAGTTACCCATGCCCACTCTGAGCCTCAGTTCTCCATTCTTAAAAGGCTTAGGACTGGTTTCTGACTCCTAAGACCCTCATGAAAACTAATTCTGAGGGTTATTGCTTGTCCAGCCTCGGTAATAGTTTTATAAATGTTTGTTGTTATTGTGCTTATGGTGATGGTCCTTAGTCACACTGTCTCCCCAGCTCTTGACCTCCTAGGCAGAGTTCTGACCAAGATTCTGAATGCTTACAAGGAAAGGTGCCATTTTGACCTTCCTGGTGACTTTGCTCTGTGGTGATGAGAGCACCTATAGGGGCGGAGCACAGCTCTGTGATGCCGAGGAAGCTGCGTGAGCCCCAGCTCCCTCCGGGCCTGGCAGAGGGCAAGGCTTGTCAGCCAGAGGGCAGTGGTATCACCTCTGCAGGAGCAGCTAGAGCCTCTTCTCTATTTCCAGAAAGAACTCTTTGTATCTAGACTATGGGGACGAGCAGGATCTGTTCACACAACTATTTTGGCAGCCAGTATTTGAGTCTTTATTATAACGCCAGGCTCTACACAGACATTCTCCTTTCTAGTCACACAATCCCTACAAAGAAGCTGTGATGCTCGCAAAACTGAGGCTCACAGAGGAAATCTGCCAACATCCCATGTTAAAAAGTGATAGAGCTAGTACCCAAAACTAAACTTCAAACTCAACTGCTTTCTGTTACCCTGCATTCCTTCTCTCTTATCATGTCCCCAAAAGTACTGTGGAGCAGGAGGTTTCCACCTACTCTAGACCTTTAGCATATGACTGTGTCTTGAAAAGAACTCCTGTTGAGACATCTCCTACTTTCCCTGCCAGAAAAGGTGCACTGTCCAGAGATTCCAGCTGTGCAGTCATCCTGGGTCTGCTCCCAGATGGTTAACGCCTATGTCAAGTCATGGCTGCTTTTGGGCTGAGCCACCGGGCACTCATCACCTCATCTTTTCTTGGACACGTGCTCAGGGACAGATTTGAATTCACCATGTTTGCAGGTCAACCACATAAACCCTGACCTTTCCTGGAGACTACCAGAACATTCCTGAACTTGTGATACCCAGTGGGAGTCTCTTCCCAGAGATTGGCGAGTGCGATGTTTGAGAAACAGAGCAGCCCGGAGAAGCCCTTCTATTTCAGCACAGAGGAAAGATGGAAGACATGCATCTACTCCTTGAGGAACTCCTGTTCAAGATCTGAGATGGACAATCTGGAAAGATCTTATCAGCCATTGGCTCCTGCAAGGCGACTTGTGGCCTCCGTTGTTGTGTGCCACCCTCTGCCCTGTGCCCATGGAGCATGTGGGTTTGTGTGTGGTCTCCTTTTCAGAAGAGAGTTTCTGTCTGCCATTTCAATGTGGAGACAGAGCATCACCTTCTTTGCTAATAGTATCCTTTCTTTTAACACTGTCTTCCTACCTTTACCTGTCCTTGGCATCTCTCTCGCTTTTCTCTCATCACCATCTCTGGGGAAGTCACCAGGAAAGGCTATCAGAAAATGGTGCTTTGCTTTTGACTTTTTTTTGTGTTGATTCTTTTAGAGAACTTAATGAACCACCTTTGTAATGTCTTGTCTCCTAACATTACTGCTTGTCTCTCACAAGATTCATACATTTCTGACAGCAATTTTTTAATGAAAAAAATGATCAAGTTGTGTGATTTCTAGAGTCATCTTATACTTCTAAAGGGTGTTCCTCTGGCTTAATGTCTCTTGTCAGAAATGTCCTTGATCTCTCTTGTCAAGTATTTATTTTCAATAAAAGTGGCTTTCTGAAGCCTTCTGTTGTCTAGCTTTCTGACAATTTCCAGAAGATCTATTTCTATCAGCCCTGTGTCCTTCTGGCACTCCCAGTTAGCTGGGGTAGGTCAGTCCTCAGGGTAAGATGATATATTGATTTGTCATGACTTAACTTCCCATCCAAGGACTGATTCTTAGGAATTAGAATGCAAAAGTATCTATTTGATGTCGATGCTTGGTTTGCAAAATAACTGAGGTTTTTAATATGTATTTTTCTCCATACCTTTTGTAATTATTCGCCTTTCATTCCTTTAGTAAATATTTCTCTGAGGAGCTACTATGTGCCCAGTGCTGAGCTAGAGTCCGGGGTAAAGTCATGAGCAAAATCATCCAAGATCCCTGCTGTCCTATAGCTACAAGGTGGGGAGGCAAGAGGAGTCAACCAAGTAATTATGCTAAAACATGTAAAATTTCAACCATGAAAGTGTGTGAAGGAGAGTAGGGCTGTGAAAGCAAGTAATACAAAAGGCTAGTATACTCTGGCTAAGTGTGGTCCTTAGACCAACTGCCTTAGCCTTACCTAGAAACTAATTAGAAAAACACATTCTCATTCCCCATCCCCAGATCTATTAGATTAGAAACTGTGGGGGTGGAGCCCAGCATCTATGTTTTCATATGTCCTCAGGAGATCAGAATACATACTCAAGTTTGAAAATTCTTGCTCCAGATGGTCAAATGAGGCTTCTCTGAAGATATAACTTTTGAATTATGAAGGAACACTAGGCAATAGGGTGGGGTAGGGAAAGTATTGTATTTCACATAGAAAGAATGGCATGTGTAAAGGCCCTGTAGAAAGAGCAGAGAGCTTCTGAAAGCGTGAGGGATTATCCAAGAGAGGAGAAAAGTGATGAAAGATGAGCCCGGACAGGTTGACAGCAGCCAGGATGCACAGGTCAGGGAGGCCTCGTCAAGGATTGGGCAATAGGAAGCTTATGATGTGCTTTTAAACACAGGGATGATGTAATCCTGTTTGTTTTCATTTGAAGAATAAGTTTATAGTATGGAGAAAGGATTGAAGAGTTGCAGGAAGAGACCAGTTTTGAGATCACCATAGGCACCTGAAGAAATACGGTGGTCACTTGGACAAAGGTGGTTTCTGGAGGGATGGAGGGAAGGATGCATAGTCACAGATTTCATAGGTGAAGTCCACAGGTCTTGATTATCCTGGAGATGTTAAGGATGACTCTGGCATTTTGTTTTACATGCAAGATTGAGGATAAATGACGCCAACATTGACAGTGGGAAGAGATTGAGTTTGACGTGCCTTTGAGTACCTAAGTATAGATATCAGTCAGAGGGTAAAAGGTGTGGCTCTAGTCTAGAGTTAGAGGAGACATCAGGGCTGGCAATTCACATAGGTGAGTGAGTCATAAAAGCTAAGTGGCAACTGAAATTGTGGGCCAGATGGTGAGATCATTCAGGGAAAAAGAATATAATGAAGAGCAGAAAGCCAGAATGCTCATTGCGGAATCTCAGCATTCTTGTTTACTGATCAGGTGGAGTTAGGATGACCCTGTAAAATACATTTAGCATATAGCCGAAACCGGTTTGGCTCAGTGGATAGAGCGTAGGCCTGTGGACTGAAAGGTCCCAGGTTAGATTCCGGTCAAGGGCATGTACCTTGGTTGCGGGCACATCCCCGGTAGGGGGTGTGCAGGAGACAGCTGATGGATGTTTCTCTCTCATTGATGTTTCTAGCTCACTATCCCTCTCTCTTCTTCTCTGTAAGAAATCAATAAAATATATTTTAAAAAAATAAAAAGCATTTAGCATATAGAGCCAAAGAGAAGGGAGAAACTAGAAACTTGGAGAAGACAGTGTCAAAAGGGACAAGGGAAGAAAGAGTTTCAAGGAGGGAGTGCTCAGCAATGGGGACCAGAGAAGAGATGTGGAGTCAGGAGGATTGCTCTAATTCCGTGGTCGGCAAACTATGTGGCTCTTTGGCCCCTTGAGTGTGGCTCTTCCACAAAATACCACGGCCTGGGCGAGTCTATTTTGAAGAAGTGGTGTTAGAAGTTGTTTAAGTTTAAAACATTTGGCTCTCAAAAGAAATTTCAATCGTTGTACTGTTGATATTTGGCTCTGATTACTAATGAGTTTGCCAACCACTGCTCTAGTTTGTTTGATTTTTTTAGTGTGAGTGGTTCTTGTATATTAAAACCTTAGGATTCCATTGAAAGAGGGTGGTGGAATAAGAGAAAGATGTGACCAGGATCCTAAATATAGGTGGTATAGAGGCTCGGATTCTGTAGATTCTGCTCTAAACTGAATTTCTCTGATCCTCTGTGACCATCCTCTGACCTGGAGTGCCTGCTGTCCTTCCCTTTCTTGGCATTTCTGCTCCCCGCTGTCTTGCCTGCCACATCCCCTTTCCTGCAGCCTGCTCTGCTGTTTTCTCAGCTTTGTTCACCCACTGTTAAGTTATTAACTTGTCAGGGTCTAGACTCCCCACTTCCTTTCCCACTTTGAAAGTACTGCTGGCTCCCTTCCTGTTCACCGCCTGGAAAGTCAGCATTCGGAGGGCTGGGGTTACTCTGCGGGTCATTATTGGCAGGCACACAGAATCACAATTAATGTAATTAGTGTAAGATGTGGAAGGCTTCTTAAACACATGGATACAGCTGAAAAAGGAATAATGAACACATCCATCTCTTCATTACCTTAGATGTGAAGCACATGATGAACTTAAAATAAACTCTTCAAAGTAGTTTCTCCAAAAGGGTTCAATTTTAAAGGGTGGTATATAAGCATGTTAAAGACCATCAGTTTTTACATGGGCTCAATTAGGATTAGGAATAATCTTTAGCTTTTAAAACAGACACAGAAATAGGTGGATTTTTAAAAATATGTTGCAACTACTCTAAGGCAAGCAAATTTTCCTGATTCTTTAGAGAAATTTGCAGCAGTTTCTTAAAAAAGAATTGAGTGGTTTTGTCACTACCTAGCACTTTTGAAGTCATGAATTAACCTAATGGGGTCTGATGGACGAAAGGCACAGACTGCCTCCGGTTTGTTTATCTGAGTCCTGCTGAAATGATTTCTTGTCTAAAGATAAAATTAAGGGAGGAAGAACATTTTTGAGCATCTATTATGAACAGATCTTTTACTTATATCATTCTATAGATTCCTTATAATCCTGTGAGGCACGTTTGATTCTATTGATTTTACAAATACAGAATTCAGGGCTCAGAACTGTTTAGTAATTTCCCCAAGTTCACACCTCTGGAGGGTGGCAGGTAGTTCTGCAGCTCTGGTCTCCACGCTCATACCTGGAGAAGCAGCGTCATTTTTGTAATAATAGTAATAGTGGTTATAATAGCAATGCCTCCCACACATCATATCCTGGATGTATGAGGAGCCTTCGTGTATGTCAGATTGTTTAATTCTGTAACAGTCCTGCAAGTACCACGGTCCTCATTTTACAGAAGAGGAAGTAGGCTTGAAGAGGTTAAGTGATCTGCCCGTCACTCAGATACTCAGTGAAGATCTGGAATTCACACCCAGTTCCACCTGGCCCTGACATTTCACTCTACAGTATCATTGTCAAGGTTAGGGGTGTTTCTCCAATCCTCACTAACAAGCCTGAGGTAGATGTAAATATTTTTTCCCCCAATGTTGACTATACAGCTGCCTCCCAACACTCCTCTTGAGCTAGAATACCAAATGCTTATTTAATTTTTATTCCTCATCAGCCTTGAGTAGCGAGGACAAATACATCAACTATTTCTGCAAGCTTATGTATTTTGGTAAGGTCCTTTCTGGTGCATCTAGAAACTTATTCTGTCAAGCCTTCCCTCTCTTTCCCCCCTTCCTCCCCCGCCCCCCTCCCCTTCCTCTAAAACAAAACAAAAAACAGACGAGGCCAAGAACACTGCTTGTGCAACCAGAATTAAATCACAAGTGGTGAGTGAGCTGACTTACTGTATCTAGAGAAGAGCCCTGCCATGGTCACACAGACGGATCTGCTCTAATTTTACACAGGATTCTAACCGTCTGTTTTCAGCTTAGTCCACAGCAACACA